AGAGAGCATTCACTTTTATTGTTTTCCATATTTTATCTGCTATTAATAAACATAATATATTTAAGTACCTAAATATTTAGTAAAAACATTTAGCTATGTTAAGATAACGGTTTCAATTTTTTTTTATAAAAAAAAATTAAGGTAAATGGCAAAGTTAAAAATGTCTAATGAGTAGTCTTACTTTGGTAACAAATTAATTTGTTGGAAATAAAAAATTAATAGTTATCTAGTATTTCTGCTTGTTATAAACGCTGAGTAAAAATTTGATGATAAAAAATCATTTTTTAAAGAGGAAGTTTCCCAGAAGTATGTACTGCTCTTTTAAACAAAAGCAAGAAAGAAAAAATTTTGTTAAAACTGACCGGACATAACTTTAAATATTTAAAATTTTATTATTGCTTTGTTTATGTTACTTAAACAAAAAAAGATGTTAAAAAAAAGCGACCATACAATTGTATACTTAACATGTTTTAAATTATTTATAATTTATTAACAGGAGCAGATCTAGAGATCATTTTTTTGGGCGGTTGTGCGTCTCTCATGTCCCTTCCTCCAAATTTGTAAAATTAAGGGCCCGCTAGATTATTTAGTCACGGGAATTAGAAGGTCTAGTTACGCCACTGAGTTGGTCAGGTACTAGATTCTAAAATTAATTGATGAATAACTATAAAGACTTAAGAGGGAATTTAAAGGGGTTGCACATTATATACCAAAGAAAGAATGTCAACACTCAATAATGTTTATTTTGGGCGATGTTGTTAATAGGGAACTGACCAATCGTATAGTGTGTTCCAGCACAATATTCTATCAAGTATGGAAAAAAAAATGTTACCAGGCCTAGTCCAACTTATTTTTATCATTATACTAAAACTACAGTCAAGGGGACACTCTAATGCCAAAACTGTGGAATATTTCATTAGAACCAGTTATGCGAAAGGTACTAATCCAAGGCAAAGGAATAAAAATAGATAACAATAAAGAATTAACCGTGGTAGCTTTTGCTGACGATATAGTCCTTATAGGTGAAACAGAAAATTAACTAGAGAAATACAACTAGCATCCTACTAAATGAAGATAAAGAGATTTGTCTGAAAATAAATGGGTCAAAAACAAAGTATATGATACTTTCCAGACGAATTTACCACATCACTTATTTAAAAGTTGATGAATATAAATTTGAAAGGGTACAGAGCTTCATGTACCTAGGGGCAGAGATCAATGAAAATGATAATAGCCACGAAGAAGTTATAAAACGACTTATGGCAGCAAATAGATGCTACTATAGCCTAATGTCATTATTCAAATCAAGATTACTATCAATAAAAGCCTAATCAAAGTCATAGTTAAGCCGATTGCTCTAAATTCATGTAGTACTTAGGCCACGACAAGATTAGATGAAAAAAAGTCAGAAGTCTTTGAAAGAAAGATATTAAGGAAAATCATCGGTCCAAAGAGAAATAATGTTGGAGAGTATAAAATGAGAAACAACGAAGATTTGGATAATCTTTCTAAAGAACCTACTATTATCGGGAACCTTAAAAAGTACGAGGATAAGTTGGGACGGGCACGTAAGGAGATCAGAAGGAATCATTGGATTAATAACTAAATGGAAACACAACACAAAGAATCCTAGAGGACGGCCTAGACAAAGATGGATAGATAGAATACAGGAAGACTTAAAACGTCTGAATATAAGGAACACAGAAGAATGTGCGAAAGATAAAGAGAGATGGAGACAATATGTTATTGTGGCGATGGACCTTAAAGGCCTGTAAATATAAAAGTTTGATGCACTCAACAAATTATATTATAAATAATGAAAAATCACAATTGGATCAATGAATTCGTTTTAAGGCGGAAGGTTGCGCCAAAATTGTTTTAATCAAAATTGCTCTGAGCAGCAGTCTGTTTATGGATAAAATAATTAACCGATTTTTTTGAAAATCATACCAAAATTTAAATTATTTTCTCTTCAATGTTTGCCGTTTTCTGTATATTAATTTATATAATTTCAAAAGTATGTAATATTGTGCTTAAAATATGTACAAAGAAAAACGTTTTGTTTATTTTCTAAAACATTTTTTTGAATTCTGATAAGCCAGAAACATAGAAGATATTTTTAAAAAATCGGATAAAGTTAAGTACGCCGAACCAGTTTTTTCTTTTTGTAAAAGTTTGGCATTGGTTTGAGTGGCGGAGGTGAGGGCGTTTAAGATTGGGATGGATTTAAAAATTGTACTTCATTATAATATTATTGTACATTGTTTAAAAGTGTTCCGTATTAAATATTTTATAACAAAGTAATTCACACATTTCTAATACAATATTATACAACAAAAAACATCAGAATATTATTTTTCTGTTATTTCAAATATAACAATATTTTTAAATAAATGAATAATTAATAATAAAATAATATATATTTATTTTATTATTCATTTTTTAGATGTAGGACTTCGAAATTTATTCTGTATCTTGTATATTATATGTCACACGGAAGTTTTTGCATTTATTTTTTCAATTTTTAAAATATTATATAATTACGATTTTGTGTCCAAAAATTAAATAATAATACTATCATTATTATTATTATCATTATTACCTATTTTATTATTAATAAAATACTATTTCACATAGTAAAATAAACAGTGAACTAATCTTTGGTTTGAATTAGAGCCGACGATTCTACACATGTATTTTAAATACACGTATAGGACAACTTCGCGTAGTTCGAATTCACGTGTAGAAGTTCGTGTAATTATAAATACACGTGTAGGATCCGAGATTCCACTAACTTGACCAAATAGCTAAAATACTTTATCTTAGTGACAAGCATTAACTAAAGAAGAGTATCACGTAAAATTACAGGTTTAGTTAAAACTTACAGTTGTAAGGATACCGAATACGTGTAGTTGCAGGTACATGCGTACTTAGAACTACACAAACTTCTACACGTGTAATCGGCAGCTCTAGTTTGAATCACTTAATAGTGTGATGTCATCCTGAAATTTTTCTTTTTTTTCGCAGGGCTCAGTGAACGTCACTAATATTAAAATAATTAATGAAATAATAAAATAATTACACTTATAAATAAAAATATAAGGGTTATAAAAATATGATAAAAAAAAGCCAGTACAGAGGGGTCGGGGTGTAGTGGGGACGGAGAGGTCACAGGTCTACAGATTTTATTATAACTGTAAAGTGATAAAATCACTTTTAAATAAACGCTTCGATGGGAATCTGTGGATAGTATGTTCAAACCAGTTATAGCGGTTTAGAAGATATCGTGGGACCAGCAATAATGTAATTAAAATTTAATATTTAGTCTTGTGCACGGTGGATACGATAAGGGTTGATCCTCTGTCTATAAAAATGTACTGTCATAGTTACCTATTTATCGTAATTAAAAATATAATGAAAAAATCGCATTACCTGTTGACTGTTGATTCACACACACATAGCAACCTAGAAACTGACTACGGCCAAAGTGTAAATTTACCCTATTTTTAGGTTTTTCCTTAATAAATAAAAAATTCGACTACAGATTTTTGAGAAAATTGTATATTTTATAGTTCCATTTTAAATCTACCTTTGGTCTAATTTTCATATCTAAATCTCTAAAACTTTGCTTAAAAAAGTGAAATAAAGAAAAAAATTCTATCCCTTCTAAGGGAAATGATTTATGATATTTTTTTGGTTTGTTAAGGTTTATTGATAGTACTATGTTTGAAGAATAATTCATATAAATTTGGAACATTTTTGACTTTTTTTAAAAAGTTATAGAGCATCGTAATTTTAAGTTGAAATATTTGTAAATTTTTTAGGCGTTTTTCTCGATTTTGACGGAGAAGGGGTGACTTTTTTTAAATTTTTGGCCCTTCAAAGTACTTTTCAGGTATAATTTCTGATCTATAGAGTTGCTACACGAAGAAATCGGTTCAGCGATTTACGAGATATCGTGGGTCCAGACACGACAAAAAAAAAATTTAAAAAAAAAGACATCATTGTAAAAACAATACCTTCTCAGCTCCGCATCGAAGCTAAAATAATCACTATTACAGCCGCCGCGCGGATAATAGGTTAAATCAGCCACTACCCTCCGCCCCCCGCCCGCCCATCCGAACCTTAGGCGCCCCCGCCACCCCAGCTACCGACGCCAACGACGAAGGGTTTAGACGCAGACGCTCCGCTGCCGCCGATGACGTACAGACTAGCCGCAGACACCCCCGCCGCCGCTACTCCGGTTGCCGGCGTCGACCACTTACAGACTAGCCGCAGACTTACCAAGCCACGAGCGTCGACGCGCCGGCGTAACGCGTCGCCACGCTAAGAGTCGGTTTTACTCCCGTACCGCGCCATTAAATGTTTCACATCAATTTTAAATAAAAATGTAAAAAATGCAATGTTAATTACTGTCTAATTAGAGTATCCTTCAACGTAATATCAAAATTGAAACTTAAATGCTTTACATTGACAACGAGGTCAATAACACATGCAAGTTTATTTTCACAATTCGTTTAGATAGTGTAGTACGTGCAATTTAATATAATAAATACTATAATATTGTGTTTACTACTACAACGAATATTAGATAGATAACCGGTTTCCGATAACGAATACGACCGCGGTAATTTTTGGTAAATTCGATTTTTGTTTAAAAACATCGACAGCGGCCAGTGGTGGCCGAACAATTCATGCGTAATCTATTGACAGCGAAACACACTACACGTTCGCGACCTTCCCCCTTAACGATTATAATAATATATATAACGACCAATGTCGTTTGTCAATACTCAATACAATAATAATATTAACTATCGAACTGTACCCTGTTTATCGAACTGTACCCGATCCGATCGACAACAGACGGACTGTCAAAAACAGATACATAGGTCTTTTGTAACGAACAATACAAGACAAGTAAAAATGAACCTGTATTTTTACTTGTGTCGTACATTTGCTACGGTAAAAAAAAAAACAAAAAGAGTTATAGTTCTTACCAGAATTGCCAGGGTCCAACGTCGGAAGCGTCTCGCTTGTATGCTTGTACGCCAACAGCAGTAGCGCCAATATTTGCATACCGGGATTGAACACGTCCATGGCGCAGGCGACGTTCACCGATGGTTCCAAACGGAGAGGACAGTGGGAAAATCGGAAAAACCCAGTGACGAATGGCGAATGAGCACGACTAAGTGCGACAGCAGTCAGGTTCACACATCATGGCCGCGACGCCAGCGGAAAGTAAATGACACAACAGCTCCGGACAACGGCATCCAGGCACTACAGGTCGGCCCGGGAATACAATACTTGTGGGCACATTGATCCGTCTGCGAAACACCGGGCATGCGCGACCGGCGGAGAGCACTGGGGATGGGGTCCGAAATCCAACCCTCGTCATCCCCCGGTAGAGGTCACCGACTCGACTCGACCCCTCCAGACGGAATGCGCAAACCCGGACAGTGATCAATACTACTATAATCTGTTCGGCGAAGGAACGGTTCGGTCCGAGCACCGTCACGATAAAATATAATAATATTTAACCCTGCCTTGGCGCTGTATCTTTTATGGCCGTTTGGTCCAGACTTGTCGTTATCTATTGGTAAATTATTTACCACCGTAATAAACTAACTTTTGTTAAACACTCAGCCGATTTCATCAACTATTGTTAAATACACTCTTAACACAATGTTAGTTAACAATTCGTTTAAATGAATTAAGTTTCACCACAACATAAGTGTTGTTAATTCTATTTGTTAAGTTCACAAAACGATAGTTAGGTTACCAAAGCGGTTACCTCGATTCCAACGATCTGTTTGTCAGTTATTATTTGACATTTTATTTTACTTTCTTTTAACGTTTCGATTTATATAAATAATTTATACATCATTTTTTAACACATTGTTTAGACAGTCTATACCTTTCTAAAAATAGTTTGTCATCAAGGTGATTAAAATCATTTTTTTCTAATTTGAAGGTCTAAAAAAAAGGTCGGTAGTGATAAGAACTATTTCCGTTGTTATACTCAGGACAGGCAATATATAATAATATTATCTAAATTATAAAATACAATAAATTATGATATTTGATTATTTGAACCTATAATGCTAGTCATTCCTTTGTACCTAACCTACCCACATAAAATAACTTCCGCTTATCTAATAAGTGGTTATCGAAGTTGTCATTTCTACAGTTATCTAAAAACTCAATATAAAGAAGGTCCTTATCAAATGTGTAATTCATTATTGTTTATTACTAAAATACTCAGTCAACAAAATGTATGAAACAATTTCTGAACTATAATAATATAAAACTGTATATATAAGTACTACAATACATTTTAACATGTCGACTAACTTTTTAACAAGCCGAAAAAATAAATTTAAAAATTCATAGTTTTGACAAAATGTTTTACCTATTTTATAACTTATAGTCCCAGTGTAGATTTACCTTCAGTCTAAATTTTAGACCTTAAGCCGTAATAAAACTACAACCAAACAAGAGAAATAAAAAAGAATGTTTTCACCCCATTTGAGAGTATGAGTTTAGTTTTTGTCAACGTATATTGAAGAAATGTATACTGAATACTGGTAGTGTTATAACGGTTTCAATCACAATAATAATGCCATTGTAAGCACCACCTGCCGGTGCCCAAAAACTAGCAGCTGTCGGAGGCACACAAAAGGATACCAGTAGGTTAGCTACCCTTAACATTGCATGTAGTTCAAATATTCAAAAAAAAGGGGATACAAGAAAATGGAAACACCGCTTGCTGCACATTTTGTTTTGAATTGGCCACAATAGCGACTACTATGTATTAATATTTCAGAGTTTTATACATCAGCCAAGATTCAAACATGGTTTCGATAAAACCACTGAAAATTATAAAAAGTTCCGGTTTTATGAGTATTATATGCAACAACAGTAATCTTACAGATTATCGTGACATAATATATAGCAATGCAATTATACCTAAGTAAGACTACCAAACCAAAATGCTAAATCTTCTATTATAATATGTATGAAGATTCCCGCTTGGTTTTTGAAAATGTCAAACCTACTAAAAAGAGCAGTATTGTTAAGTGTTCAAATACTCTTACATTTGATGGTACAGAATACATTTTTTAATAATTTTTTTTTTTATAAAAGCACGTCTGTTTTATTAGAACATTAGTTAATAATATACAATTGTTTGCAAAAAAACTCTGTACTATGAACCAGAAATGGGTTCAAATCAATTGAAAATGGTAACTACACCTGTCACTGATCAATTAAAGACAAGAAACACATGAACACATTTACCCTTATGGAATATAATTATATTTTCTTATTTAAACTTGTTTTGATTAGGATTGGAAATCCGAGTGACATAAAAAAATGTAGTATTTCTGTAATAGTTTTATATTCATAATAACAATTTATTCAATGAGAAAAAACACAAAATACAAAAAAAATATATTATAAGCAATACACTTTTTCTCATTCATTTTTTTAGCGCGATTTTAGATTTTAAGAACTAAAAACTAAACTGAAGGTAGGTTCTTATACAGCAAAAATATAAAAAAAATAGTATAAATGATTTAACAATATTTATTAATATCGAAAATATATTTTACAATATTTTATGATCATATTTTTGTAGGAAAAATAGTATAAATATTTATAAAATATTTTTTTTTTGTAAAGACCTAATCATTTATTACCCCATCATTTCTAGACAAAAAAAAAAGTAATAAATTAGAAATATGTGTTCACATTTCACACACAGCAACCTAAAAATTAACTACGGTCAAAGTAATTTTCCCCTATTTTTTGGTTTTTCCTTTAAAAAAAAAAAGTCTGACTACAGATTTTTGAGAAAACTGTATATGTTATAGTTCCAACCTAGTTCTAACAAAGAAAACATTTCTATCCCGTCTAGGGAAAAGGGTTTTTATTAATTTTCTGATTTGTCAATGTTTGTCTGTAGTAATATGTTTAAAGAATATTCCTTACAAATTAATTCGACATTTTTTTAAAAATTCTAGAGCATCACATTTTTAAGTTGTAAAATATGTATATTTTTTGGGTATTTTTCTCAATTTTGAAGGGGAAGGGGTGAACCTTTTAAGTTAAGGTATTATACACAAAAAGTAACTTTTAAACTAAGAGCACAAACATTAGCTAATTCTCAGTACAGTATTTTAATTTTTAGCTAATAAAATATCTTTCAGGTACGATTTCTGATATATAGAGTTGCTAGACGAATAATTCGGCTCAGCTGTTTAAAAAATATCGTGGGTCCAGACACAAATATAAAAACACATCATTGTTAATATGATACCTTTTCAGTCGCAAACCGAAGCTAAAAAAATATTAATCATCAAAATGTTCTGGAAAGTTAACGAAACGCATATTATAATATAAAAGATATTCTATTATAAAATTTTAATATAACGTTTTTTTTTAATGTAATAAGAGTTGTTACAATGAGATATTACACAAAAGCTTTTTATTCTAAGATCTATGATAAGGTGAGTCCAAGTATATTTTGTAATCATACAAATAAAAAATTAAGAGTATCCACGCTTCATTCCGATACAACAATACATTTTAATAAGGTAATGTTATTGTCTTATCTTCTGTCGTTTTTCTTTCCTCTAATTCTAATTATTTGAATCAAAATTGTTGCTATTTAAATACTAAGATAATGTTTAAGAAGAAACACTATCGACATTTTACAATTAATATTATTTGCTACGTTTGATTTTCAATCTGCAAAAAGCATCATTAAAAATAACAAAGTGATAATATTTATAATTTTTTTGTCATATTTCCATAATTTTTAATTAAAATCCTTATACTTTTACAGAGACTCGCAGAAAATAATTACAGTATTAAATATCCAGTTATCGTTTGACATAAAGACAATATGAATATATTTATTTGACTGGTTCAAATAGAGGGGCGGCTAAGGAAGTTCAGATCTTTAAAGAACTCTGAGAGCTTTATCAGAATCTCAGTAATAATTATAAACCTTACTTGGGGCGGTATCTGTTTGGTTGCTGGCATTTTTTTAGAACTTGGACGAATTTAGAGATTTAAACTTCCATAGCCCTCGCGCAGATAAAAATAATACTAAACTCCACCTTTCCTCCTGCCCTAAACATTAAGAAAAAAAATGTCTAAAACATTAAAATCCTAAAATTGTGACGAAAATACAAATAACAAAAAGAGGATTGTACCTAAAAATTAAGGGCGGAATCGATTAAAGTTGATTAACTTGACTTTAAAAATGCCTTGCCATATTTTCAATACATGTTGACTGTTGATTCAATCACACTAAGAAAAACTGGAAATTGACTACTAACTATGGTCAAAATGTGATTGCCATTTTTTTTTTGTCAGCAGTCAGACTATCACATTTGTATAAGATAAATAACAATTGTTTTCCCATCAAAACTGCTCAGATCAAGTATGTGAGGCCAGTAATAACAGTAGATTTACTAAATTATGACAATATATAGGAAAAAACTTTATCTATGGGATAGAGTTTTTTATATATATATGTATATATATATATATATATATATATATGTATATATATATATATATATATATATATATATATATATCTGTACTTGTTTATAAACAAATGAAAAAAGGAAAAAAAATGAATCTTGACGGTTTGTAGTGCAATAAAATTGTTAGTGACTGGTGAACTATTCAATCATCAATTATGTATTGCATGCGACCCACGTTTTTCGTTTTTAAGACCTTACAAGTATTTCCACATTTGAAATTATTTTATATTTTTTAGTCCATATTGAAAACGTGATAAATAAAAAATATTATTTTTATTTAAATAATAATTTTAAAGAGTACCATTGCTGACTTGTCAATGTTTCCGAGACGACGTGTTATTGTATTGTTGGGTTAATAAAATTGTTGCTTAAAAAAGATAAAAAGAATGCATTTAATAATTAACCATTAACAACGCATAAACGTATAATTTAATATCAAACATATGAATTAAAACAATTTACATGATATAAATATACACACTTAAAAATTAAACGAGTCCTCTACCAACATTAATATAATTTAATTATTCACTTTTGAAGTTTGTGTCAACAAACTATTATGAAAAGTAAAGTTATATGTCTAAAAATTAATTTTTAGAGTAAGGGTGGATATGATTAATGTTGATCGTCTGACTTTAAAAATGTATTACCATATTATTTGCAATACCTGTTGCCCGATTCACAACGACACACTTTTTAACCTGGAAATGGACTACGGACTATGGTCAAATTGTAATTTGCCTTTTTTTTTTTGGTTTTCTGGTTAGGTTCAAATACAATATTTTGAGAATTATATCTTCGTTCTAGATCAATAATCAGTCTAATTTCAGACATAAATTCTTAAAACTTTGTTTGTATAAGTAAAGCATACAATAAAAAAGTTTCGAAAAATAAGATTCGCAATAAGAATTATACTTATTGAATTATAACAACATAATTATTGATATCGGAAAAATGGACAGTTTTAATATGGTTATTTTGATATTTGACACATTGTTATATAAATTACTAATGACAAGCGAGCACTTAATTATAGGTGACAACGTCTTACAACAATAATTTTATACTTATAACATTATTTTATAATTATAGAAAAAAACGTATATAAAAATCAATATAATCGATTATTATGACAAAATAATTTTACTGATTGATTTCCCTGATATACTTAATGATTAATTGAATGGCTTCAAAACTGACATGTACAAAAGCATCATTAAGATAATCTAAAAAGTAGTCAACGTCAACTTTAACCGTTCTCACTTCGCTTACTAAGCATTGTACATACATCTCTTCATGTACATTCATACTTTCGCTAGGTATCATTAGTTCTTCGACGTTTCCGGTCATTGGTTCAATCAAATGGCACCCGAGTGCTTCGCAAATAGTTTGCAGCTCTACTTGTAAATATGTTTTAATGGACATCAAACATTCATGCTTATCTGACTTGCTCCTGCCATATTTGTCAATAGCTACTTTTAACTCGTTGATTTGCTGATCGTTATTCAGATTCAATCTGTTTTGAAAATGCAATAGGGCGATTATCAAAGGATACGGACCGACATTTATTTTATTTGAGCCCATCAAATGTCTCAAAATCAACTGATACATGATGAATTTCAAAAAATCTATATGCAATGTGTAATATGCTAGTAACTTACGAAGGTTGTCAGTGGCCCAGTCCATATCGTAAGTACTATAATAAGCATTATATAACCGATTAAACGTACCACCCCAGTTGACTTGCACATCGTACTTAGTCATAAAATTTTTTTTTAACACCGGATTTATACCCAGGTTGTTCATCATGAGCCTTTTAGGTCTCATCGTTTCACTGAGCAACTCCAAATTTATATTACTCAACGTGCTATTATATTCTATTATTGCCATCAAATTACGGTTGTTGCTAACAAATAGATCCGAAATGCCTTCGTATGTGAGTCCTATATTTGTAACATACTTGCTCTCCGAATCATATACATTATTTTTGCGACAATTACCTGCGTCCTGCTGCATTTTGCCGATGACATACATGTGAGTCTCTATGATTTTTGGTGCATTATGTTCCAAATCCGTTTTAGAACTATCAAGTATAAAATCGAAATAATTCAGTAGCATATTTGTGTAACAGCCACAATGTACTAATGTTCGTTGGATCTAACAAATATAACGTAGATATCATATATTTTACAGTATCTTTATGATAGCGTATCAAGTCTAACGCTTTGCTTGATAAAATTACTGATGGTAAAAGCACAAGGCTGATTAGGTGCATTTGCGTTAACCCTCTAAACAAGTAACCGCATTTCAAGTCACTGATAGAATTAATGTTTAGATCATTGTCTTCGGTGTTATATATATATCCGGTTTTCAAAGGTTGTGCTGATCCACACTTAAGTACCGCAAAGTTCAATACAATTATAAACGGTATTTTTGACCACTTCATTTTAATAGAAATTTAATTGGTAGGAATTTTGAAAATAAAAACCTAAAAAATATCTAAATCGTTTTGTGATTTAAAAAAACAGTACAATTGAATTTATCAAATGACGTGCAAAATATTTGGCAACCGAACGAATGAAAGTTCCACGTAAAACTGAAAATACTAACATTGACAATTTTGCAATTTTATATTATTTTTTATTTAGGTCGACGTATTTTTCTATGCGAAATGTATTATTTGGTTTATGAATATTTATCGATGGAGTTTAAAACAATTTTACAAAACGTGTAAAAATTGAATTTTATGTGTTTAGATTAATTCTGTATAAATTCAAATTATATATTGAAGCTAACTAATATTTATACTTATATTAGTTTAACTGTTAAATTCGACCGGTTCTGGTCTACTTAGAGATTTCACATATTCTGCAATAATATTTTGATCGACACTTTAATACGGTAACATAAGTTCTTGGCCGACTAATATCACCGAGTAAGTCGTGACGCAATTGAGCGTCTTAAAAATCAAATCCAGAATTTTCTCCAAAAAAACTTTTACATAATTGGTGTTTTCCTGCGGTTTCGTGACGTCGGCTAAAGCGATAAGCAAGTCAGCGATTTCTGGGTCATAACTAATGTGCAACATATTTCCGAATTCAAGTAGAAATGGTGTCATTTTTCCACGTAAGGCACTCGATTTGGACTAGTAAATATTTCTATGTACAGTGTTTCAATGTTAGTCGTAAAAAGACTACTTTTAAGAATTTGAATAAAGTTATATAAGTTATATAGCTATTATATCAGTAATATAGTTCTGAATAAATTTAAATTATTTTATTGTATGCATGCATCAGATCCAACCTTCCTAAATCATTCTTTTCGAAATTGTTTATGAATAACTCTACGAATCGATACCTCTTGATATTCAAACAGGGAGGCAACTCCGTCATGTTATCTTTTGTCGTAGATTTGAACTCTTCGCAGTTTTTATTAAACTCTTGTTTTATGTCTCATATTGAGTGACTTCTAGTCACAATCACACTTACTCGACACTATCGTGGAACATCTATAAATCGCCGGCAGAACGAAAGAAACATGGACTTGGATCATTCTCCTGTACTTACGAGTTGGACTGAAAACCGGGCGACCAACGAGAACCATAATCCAGCTTTTAAATCAACTTTCGTGTCCTCGTGAAGAAATCACACCCTACCCGTGTTGCGATTAAAACCAGCCGTAGATATACCAGGTATAGTCTCTGAGTACGTGTGAATATAATCGGAAAACTGTGATACATTTAAATGTATTAATTGAATTAAATTACTCTTACATAATTTAGGTTTTTCAAAAATATTTATTAGGGATTTAAGAAAAACCGTTTCCATGACATTTTTGTGCATAAAAGTCTCACGTTTATGACTTAAACTGTTGTTTACAAAATTAAAATAGATAAACGAATACATTTTCTTAAGAAGTAAAATAAAACGAAAAAAAAATGCAATAAGTTTCCTCCCCGGCGGGGAATCGAACCCCGGTCTCCCGCGTGACAGGCGGGGATACTTACCACTATACTACCGAGGACATGTCTAATTTTGATAAAATATAGTAGTTTTAAATCAACGGCACATTAACCATTAACCATAGATCTTAATAAACGTTTATTTCATTAATTATTCTAATATTTGTGCCTACTTATATATTTCCATAGCAATACAAAATATATAGTTGTCAATTAACGATAAATTAAAGATTTTTGTATTAAAATAGCTTCATTATTAAATATTCAATTCTAATGCTAAACGTTTAGTTTAGCACTGCAAAAAAAAAATTATACAAGCCGAAGGTTATTTTAATACACGTAAACGAAACACAAAACTCATAGCAATTTTCAAGTACATAAAGAACCATGTAGCACATGAGACAACGCGCATGCGCAACTAAAAACTGTCGTGACTGCCGACCGTGACCGACCATTCGCACAGAATTTCTGATTGAACCCCAGCCTAAAAACATATCCATGTTAAGTTAATTTTAATTTCAATTTATTTCAGGTTTGGTCACAACAGGGTTTTGGTGCAATTTCTTCATGGGGACATGCCAGTTGATACAAAAGCTGGATTATGGTTCTCGTTGGTCGCCCGGTTTTCAGTGTTTCTCGTAAGTACGACAGAATGAGCCCGTCCGACGTGCCCTTTGTTCTGTTGGCCATTTGTATGTGCCCAACAATGGTATCACAGCATGGCACAAACTGTGTGAAGTACGCATGATTGTAACCAGAACCTTGGTACTGGTGCAGCTCACTCCTGTTCGTCATATCCACTTGGTTTAACAGCGAGATCTCTTCCAGAAAAGAGTCGTGGGTTATCAGCTGCCAGAACCTGTCGCCAGTCATCAGACCGGCTACGCGTATTTCTCGCCAGAAATCTGGATGGTGTGTTAGAAACGTGTTGAACACTTGGTTGAAGCTATCTCTCATGTCGGTAGGCTGCGTGTCTATCGTGAGCAAACGACCAGGAGTATCTTTCTGTGAATGCACTAAACGTATTACGAACAGTATAAACGGATATCGTAAAAGGGTGTCGACTTACTCTGGAGTAATAGATAGCGTCGGACATGACGACATTGCCTTCGTTCCGGATGGTCGTGAGCATGGTGTACTTGGAGTTGGCGTTACGTACGACGGCGCCGACTTTTGCCGCCCTTGGGTTGTACCCGTACAGGGGAATGTACCCGACCAAGTCAACCGGCATGTGCATCTGAGCGACACCACGAAAAGTTCCCAGGATGACTGCGGCGCTATCCATATCGTTGCATATGATTTTCGATGGTTCATCACGTCTACAACATTCATCCAGGACGCTCCCCCTGCCGACCAATACGATAGGACGTTCGCCCTGATTACCTTTCCCATAGTACGTGAACTCGAGGAACAGAGGTGGTATGCACGTGGTCGATGCGGCTTCCAAAATGCCGGTCATTTTTTTCGATTCCATCCATCGTTCGTCTCGAACGCTCACCTATATCGACGCGTACAATAGACGTTATTAAAACCGTTAATTTTAAAACTTTTTAAGACTTGTGCACCTTAACGTCACAACAGCACAGCCTATCCATTGCCAGTTGAGCGAAATGAACGGGCGTCATGAATTCCATCTGCATGTCTCCGACCCAACGTGCAAGGTTTTGTGCTTCGGCAGCCACCTTGCCTCGATTCCACTCGGTCTGGCAGGCTGTGGCACTGTGGTTACGGACGCATAGCCCCTCCCAGCATTTGTCACACTTAGGGCCCTGCCAGGCAGTCAAATAAGCTGCTTCAGCTGCCGTCCGGTCATCTTCGTAGCTGCCGATCTGAAATCATCGTGTGAAATCAGTCGCTACACCGCGTGCAGTGTTTATCTTACTCACGTAAATGGTTTTGGTTGATTCCTTGACCAGTGCTTTCATACCTTCAGCCACCGACTCGCGGATCCGCTCCCTGTTGTAGTAAGAGTTGTACCCTTTGTTTTCGTCGTCGGTAATGGGCAAGGACGGCTTCAGAGGAGTTAACGCCAATTTGCCGTCGCACGAGTCCATTATGATGACTCCTTTGTCAGAGATTTTCGACTCTTCCGGGCACGCCTTGAGCATGTTCATGATTTCTCCGTTCATGGTTTCGTTTAAACCTTCACCTGCGACCGATCAACACATACCATTAACGGTCTGTCTCGGATAAAAAAAACAATTGCCGCCGGTCTTACCAGTACATGTAAGCTCAAAACACTCGCAGTTACGAGTGTATGGGACAACGATCCCTTCACCACACGTTTGTTCATCGTCATCGGCTGGGAAATTCGATGACATTCGGGATGCGACATACGGTGCCCAGCGGTTCATAAGACAAATCGTTTTCACTCTATTCAGGCACGCCCTTGATAACGACATTGCACGAGTTAAATAATGATTCAAACTCGTGCAAACTATTTGAATCACGAGTTAAAATTTTGGCAAAAATTTTGTAAAGACGGCAAACCAATGACTAATTGGTCTAATTGGACTAATGACCAATGACCAAGTGTTAATTAGGTTTTGCGTTAATAGCGGTGTAACAAATTTTCTTTTAGCCAAAACATTTTCAAATGTGCTATCTAACTGTTGCGGCCAATAAAAATAAATAAAAGTCGTTATCAGCCGGCTGGCCGGGTGAGGTCAACGGTTGTGATTACTGCACCTCTCCTCCTCTTCATTGTCCGTCGGATAATAAAAATCACCCGGACTCCCGTGTGCTTTTTTTGTTTGTTGTGTGTGTGTCGTTCAGCGTTCCATGCCGTCGGGCATCATTGTGTGTTTTTCTTTACAAAACAAATATTTTAAGCTAATTGTTCGCCGTCGTGTCATTGTTTTACATTGTGTAAAAGAACCGTTTTCTTTTCATCTCTTGTGCATTGTAATTGTTGTTGTTCACGCCGCCAAATTGTTGTTGTTCACGCCGCCAAATTGTTGTTCACGCCGTCAACTTGTTGTTGGTCACGCCGTCAAATTGTTGTTGTTGTGCGCCGCCGTTAACCATACGTCTAAAGTTGATACACTATTTCATGTAATCGAGGCAATTGTTCCGTCTCCTTCATCCGTACAGTTTGGGGCTGTTGTTTTTTTGCATCATTGGGTGATTATTGTTGACCGCCGTTGGCCGTTCGACGACGTCCTTGCTGTTTGGGAAAGCACGTGACAATTGAGCTGTTGTTATTGTTTTACCACCGAGGTAATTGTTAATAACGATTCACTTTCATACTGTGTCATTACTGTATGGCATGTATATATTTATTATTATTAATTATTTAATTGTTAGTAGAGGCCTGGCCAGATGGTAAGAATTATACTGTTATTATTATCACTTCAATAGAGAAGTCGTTTTTACAGCATTACATAGAACTTTGTTATTTGTTTACTTTTTTCAAATTATACAGTCCACTAAATAGAATAAAACACTAACTGTGTAGGGAATTCCGACACACACGGACATTGTGCGACAAATAAATGTGGATTTCTATCAAAGCCGGCGGATACAAGTATTGAATGCTCTATAAAGAAAACAGTACCGTTTGGGCAATTTGTTTTCAATCGGATGAGTGCAAACTGTGATAGTGTGCACTTAAGTGACTTTTCAGTAAGTGCGCATAAATGTGGCAGAGCTCTAGTCGCCTTCCGATTTGTTTCCGCCTCGGGTGACTTTCCGTCCAACGATCAAGCCTCTGATTATAAATAGTATAATGGCTCGGGACAATTATATTGTCTAGCTTTATAACTATAATAAACAGGTTGGTAGCTTGAACGCAAGTACTGACACCAGCAAAGAAACAAGAGCCGTACTCGGGTTTCTTCGGGAGATGCGGTCTTTAACACAATACACTTAATATAAAAGAACACTTAGTTCGAATTACCTTAAAAACGACGGGAGAAAAGGTAACACTTTTAAATTAAGTAAAAGAAAAGTAACTCAAAAGTTAATAAACACACACACACAATTATAATATTCGTAAAAACAATGTAAATACAATAATACACGCGACAATACTCTCCTCGTAGCAGAACGGTCGCTTAAGGAAGAGTGCACCCGACAAAGTAATTTGGACGGCCTTAAATAATAAACATTTTTGAAATTTTTACTGTGTAGACAGTTTTGTATAGTTTTGTTTTGATTGTTTGGCCTACATTTAATTGCTTGTTTGTTAAAATACATTGATCTTTAAGAACTATACTGATGTGTATTAAACCTCTTGAATTATATTACCAGACCCGTTTAAGTACACGAGGAAATGGGATGGGCGTGAATACCTAGTAATCAAGATGCTTTGTTAAATTTAAGAAAGAAAAACGATATTTATCAATCTGAATGTTCGATAATATTTTAAACACAATAAAGTATGCATAATATGCTTAAAAGCTAATGTTAGTGTTCTTAATACTAAAAAAAGACAATCGTAGATACCATACGAGCTAATTAAAACTAATACTATTTACAAATGTACAATATCAGCTAATGAAAGAGACCTTGCATTTGACGAAATCAAGCGAGCGATGATGGCTGACGAGACCGAGCTGGCAAAAATGGCTAATGAAACCAAGCGGGCGAAGATGGTTGAAGACACCAAGCGGGCGACTATGATTGAAAGACCAAGCGGATGAAGATGGTTGAAAGACCAAGCGGATGAAGATGGCTGATTGCCGGGAAGCCAACGTTTTTGGTACCCAAAGTTATGTGTACCAACTTAGTACAACGTAAAAGAAGCGTATGGTGGCGCTAAGTTGCATAAAATACAACGAGAAAAAACAGGAGATTTTTCTGGCGTACACGGTACTTGTGCGGTGCGTAGAAGGCGAACAGCAACAACAGTAATTAAGCGGATGACGGCAACAACAATAATCAGTGAGATGATATCAGCTGTTTATACTGACATTGTTGACCAGCCGTTAACAGTACATATACTCAACATATACTACAATATATAATATGTATTATACTTGTTTCAGTGTAAATATTTAAAAAATAAAATACTATTTTTAATAAATTCATAATATACTTTCGAACAAACAGAACATTGAAATATTTGCTGATAGATATTGCAACAGTATATGTTTGTGAATTGTGTGATATTATACATACATTGATATCAATATAGTTTTGTTAAAACTGTTGTACATGGACTATACATTTTGTTCGTTAACGCAATTTTTTCTTAGAACAAATAATATTGTGATAAATTATAATTTAAACATGAAACTTTACTGTGGAAATTGTTAGAAATAAGCATGTTTTTAAAATAATGAATAGAATAATATTTGTTTTAAATAATTCTATATCTACACTCAACCGCTACACCAAGTACTTCAATAATGATTCAATATTTTTTTTTTTGTAAGTTGGTTCGTTCAATTTAAAATGTAATAATACAAGTCAGATTGTTAATAGGTATATGGTTAATGGATAAATATAAACATTTTATATGTGAGTCGCACGGCGTAACGCCTTTAAGAAAATAAATGATGAAAATAAAAACGATATCGAGTTGATTTTTAATCCACTGGTAAATTTAAAAACTAATAAAAATTCAAATAAGGCTTTGAACACGTATAATAAGTTACAATATTGCCACACATTTTTCTCTTGTGCTACCCAAACTTCTTATCAGAGAATAATATGTTTTGGATAGGTAATTGGAGTTTCACTCCGGCCTAAAAAAAAAACATTTTTAACTTGTTGTTTAGATTCTGTTGACTTCAGTTAGTAGTTTTTTGGACTTGATAAGACCTCTTAGGTAGTCATACAAAATGTAATTATATGTTTTTTATTATTATCAAACATGTTATGTTTTTATATTGTACACATGAGAATAGGTATCATTGATTGATTTCGTCAATATAATCTAAAAGTGACCGAATAAGACTAAAGTTAACGTTTGTGAATATAATACGGATGTGAGCCAGGAACAATTTGGCGTTGGCTAGACTGTTGCGTTCAATTGGTCCACTCGTCTTCATAAAAAACATCGCTTGTTCTTGGTTTATGCTTTGGTGGTGTATTTTAAATTCTTGCCCGTCTAAAATCATTGGATCAGTTGCCACACATTTCAGCGGAGGAGTAATCGTTCGCAGTATGTCTTCAAGACAATATATAATATTGACTATACTTTCCTGTGCATTAGCGAGTTTATCTATAGCGGTTAGCAAATACTTGATGTGAGGATCGTCGTCGATTTTCAACATATTTTTAAAATCCACCAGTAAGAAGTAAAATTGTTTTGCATAAGTCACTCGACTGGAACCAGTGTAATCTTTAATATACAACACATGTTTCCACGCTAATCGAACTATGACGACTTTCGTGAAATCAAAATGTAATTTATAATACCATTTGATATCTTTTTGTTTGTCAGTGTACACTTCAATTTTTTTCGAACGTGTCCAAGCAGTCCGTAGTTGGGTGATTGTGTTGCCCCATCTCACTTGCACGTTGTACACGTGCATCAAGTCCAACAGGATAAAATTGTTATTTCCAAAGTTGTTCATCAACAGCTCTTTGATTGTTAATGATTGGCACTGCGACTCGGCACTCGATGGTATGTTGTTTCTTTTCAACATATTCCCAAATGCTGCATGGTTTCTTTTTATCTCTTGACTTATTTGACGAAAACTGTTGCCTGCGTTTGTTTTATACCAACGGTGGTAAGAGTCAAATTTATTTCCTCCGCGGCAATTCGCTACTTCCTTTTCCAATAGGTTCGATACGTATTTATTGGTGTTTAAAAGCGCCCTGACAGCTATTTCTTTCTGCTGTTCGTTTGCATTTTGAATGTAATACTCGAAATTAGTGTGTAAAAATGTAAAAGCCATAACGGACCTATTTTTATACCTTCTAAATTGCTCAACGCGTATATCATCGCTCCGCTATGACAAAAACCAGTCAGATCCACCGTTGTACTTAGCTCTATGTATTGGTTTTCCATCAGTAGGTTGACTAGCCGGACATGCGTCAGTGCGTTATACAGGAAACCGCATTTCAAATCAGCATGCCGGTCAGCAGACGAGACGGGTGCTTTGTATTTATAGCCGGTTTCGAGCAATAGTACCGATTGGCCAAAAACAAAAGCTAAGCTCATAATAACAATGTTCGTTATCAGTTTGTCACGCAGCATTTTGTACAACGGTTTAAACTTTCAAATATTGTTACACACGTTTTACTTATAAGTGTACCGATTTACGATTTATAATTTTTCCAACTGCACATATAAACGCGTATAACATAGTTTTTAAATCGAATGACGTGTTAGAGCGTGTGTAGAAATGTATACATTAGGAAGGAAATA